GTCTGTTTTTTCAGCCTCGTCCCCGCCTTTTCCTGTCTATTTTTATTCTATGTTCTTGCGCTGCCATAGTGTACTTTTATCTCTATCGTTTTATCTATATATTTTTTTTAAAAAACAAGAATTTCCTAGGTATCAGCAGGAATTTTGAACAAAAAATGAAGAAATTGCAGACTCTGGAAGATCACGTAACTATATGATGTATTACCATCACAAAGAAATTTATTAATGATTCATCCTTTTAAAGAATTGAATTTATTCAGAAATCCATCATAGTATAATCCAAGATCCAAGGTTTTACACTTTTCCTGCAGTTCATCATGTTAGGAACTTAATTTTTGAAAGAAGTAAGTACAGCATGTGAGTGATTGTTAATCAATTTGTTTCAGAACGTTTTACTTTTCCTATTGAAAATGCAGATAAACCAGATCTTGAAATATCTGCAGACACTGAATTACTCCTCGGAAGGATCATCACAAAATCAGATAGCCTGTACAAATATCCTTCAGTGACCAAAATTCTAAACTTAACAATGTCAGAAGCATCCAAGAGTGCTCTTTTTCGATGGAGAAATAGGTTGATTGCTGAACTTGGTGAAGAAAAATTTCAAGAACATCATGCAAGTAAGTTTCGCTTCGGAAAAATTATCTCTTGCCATTTTGACAGGTAATAATTTCACAGATACAGTTGTGTCTGAATAAATAATACCGAAAGGAAATGATGAAGACCAAGATACATGACAAACTTGGAATCAAGTTAACATCAAAAATGAAAATACACCATTCCAGGAGGACAGTGCTGCCATGCTAAGGAAGAACGCCATATGAACATTTGAGAGTTGCCAAATTTCCTTCGAAAAAATGTTCATTTCTGAGAAAATTTCTGGATATTTTCCCTTGAAATTTTCAGGACTTTTTGGTGGAATTGCAAGGAAAATTATCTGAAATATTGGAAGAAAAATTTTCATAGGTTTACTAGGAAATTTGTATTTTATCAAAGAAAATTTTGCAATGCCTAAAGGTTCATACGGCATTCTTCCTTATTAAGGCAGAGTAGGGTTCTGCTCAGCATTACATACATGATCTAAGTACATGAAGATTTGTGTTTAAAACTCCTCCATCATTTTTTGAGGAAAAAATATTTTCAAGCTAACACAGTTCAAAAGATGGAGGGGACGAGTTTGGTTTTGAAGTGTAGTATTGTTACTGTGAGGGCTAAAAAACGGTACATTTCATAAATTTTAAGCTGCTCTGATAAAAATTTAAAACTCGGACAACACCCTCTAAAAGAGATAATTTTCACCATAGATGTTCTTTGAATCAACTTCAGACCAGAACATGATTAGCCAATTGTTTTAAGGCTCGTGTTCATGTAGTAGGATGTATCAGATGCCACCTTATCAAGACATTCAATTGATGTTCAAAAAGTTGATAAGGATAGTAACATGAGAGGTTACAATGTAGCTAGCTTTTTTAAGACAAAATGAGAATCAATGTAGTAATATAATATATGAAACGTATCCAATTAAAATTTAAAGAATGTATTTATCTGAGAGATTACCCAAGGATGAAAGTAAATTTTGACTCTCCCTACCTTTGAAATGCCAATTTATCCTGCCTGCCCACTCTTATTATCTACCCTTTAGTTTGTGTAAGTACCTTTTCATATCATATTCACTTTTAGTTTCAAGAAAACCTCTTGGATTCTTTTCATGTGTAACGCTTCCTCATGTTTTGTATGATTATTCCTTTTTCAGAACAACTTCAATTAGGTACCTTATTCCATTCCAGTCTTCAAGAATACTTACAGGTAACTCCTAAAGACGAATCAGTTCTCGAACCTGAATTGGAAGGATGTTGGAAAAGTCTAGAGAGAGTTCTCCCTCGGATATCTACTGTCAAACTACTAGAGAGCCATGTTGTACATGAAAAATTAAAGTACCGGGGAGTTATAGATTGCATTGCTGTGTACAGGTATTGTTGCTCTAGAAATGTTTTCTCATCTTGCAATTTTTACAACTATGCTCTCTTTTTGCATTTTTTTAAATAGGATCTCAATTAGAAGAAAGAGTAAAAGTACACGGTTTGAATTGAAATGAATACAAAAATATGGTTTCAAACCTTTAAGTGCGAGACCTTTTGGGCCATTTTGAATTTTACTAAGATTATTTACTTTTATTAACTCTTTACTATTAATTGCACCGAGTTTAACGGAAAGGAACCAAGCCACATCAGCTAACGCCAAATTTAACTAGGCAATTAAATTTTTTACGAGAGAGTGTTTGTGCGGATTCATTTGAAATTTTCAAGGAATTTGCTTCAAACTACGGAGACTTTTCCCTGAAATTTGCACGAAAATCCGCACAACCGTTTTCATGTAAAAAATGGAATTGCCCAATTAAATTTGGCAATAGCTGATGTGGCTTGGTTCCTTTCTGTTTAACGCGGTCCAATAACTGGCTGTTACTAATTTCGTTAACTTTACTATTATTTTTTTACTATGACTGGGCTATTCATTCATTTTTTCAAGTTACATTCTTTACAACTACTACATTGGAGATAAGTATTCATAAAATTTGAGTTTTGACATTCAGAAATGTTCAAACTTAGCTGAAATGATGAAGTATACCTAAGTAACACTCAGTTTATTCTAAAATTTTGGAGCGTTCATTTGTCTCATCAATCATCCAAAACAAGGGAAAAAACCAATTTTTACGCGTGTATGCCATGTATTTGTATCAGCAGTATTTCAGTCACTCTCCTTGTTTATACTCATTATTACAGTTCATTTTATTTTCCCCCTCTAACCTAAAATTCGAGTACAGGTCCTTTACTCCGACTTAGATTAATAATAGTGCGACATTCCACCTATTTGCCTTACTGACCTCCTCTGACCTTCACAACTGATCCCTCATCAGGACTCAGGCTTCCTTACTTGATTGGACGCTTTTTGTATCTTGCAAATAATCCATTTTTGTGTTTTTGAGTAAAGTCTCTCATTATGTAACTAAAGGTGTACTCCATTTTCATCAACCCCTAATTCTTTGTTTATTTTTGCACAGGAATACCCCTCTCATCATCGAGTGGAAAAAATCTGGGAAGTCCAAAAGTAGTCTAGCCATGACTTATGATGCTCCTTTGCAGCTATCCGCATATATTGGTGCCTTGAATTATGATTCAAGCTACCCATTCAAGGTAAAAGCTCTAAAAATGTTATATTCCCTATTTTAATCATTTTTCCGTCAAAGATTATTGCTATTTAGTGTGAATGGGAATATTATCATTTCACTATATCATTGTAATTGCATGATGATTATCTACAGTAATTCTTACTCCCTTTAGTTCCTATACTTGAGGAGCTTTCCGGAAAAAGGGCACATAGCAAAAAATAGCGTTTGAGAAAAATGCATTTTAAGTTTCCATCCTTAATTTCTGGCCACTGATGGGACCTTTCATCGCAGCTTGAACTCCCGATTTCGAACGAAAGTCACTGTTAGTGGCCATAGAGTAATGATCAAAACTTCAAATGCATTTCTCTCAAACGCAATTTCTTGTTATGTGCCCTTTTTCTGGAAAGCTCCTCAGTTGTATTTCGAGATCTCATTGCTTGTCATGGCAAGAAATCACATCAGAAAATTGAGGTATATCGACGGTGAAGGTCGGCAATCACATAACTCGATTTGCGACGTCGCAGACTTCCTGTCATACTTTATTCTTTAAACGGAAAACTACTCAACGGTAATTCCTTAAAACTGCCGTGATTTTTCTTCTATGTGCGAGGAAAATTCTGCAAAAACTGCAAGGAATCATGTCCATTTGTTCTCCTTTAAAAAAATAACATAGTCGCGGAGATTTTCAGACATCGCAAACGAGTTATGTGATTGCCGACTTGCACCGTCGATATGTTAAAAAGATCATCAAATAAAAAAGTGTACATTGATTTGTAAGTATTTTTTTTTTTGTTTGTTTGTTTCTTTGTTTTTTTTGGTCTAGTATTATGTCTCTCTTGATTATTCTTGAAATAATGATTCATGCCTTGATTCCTTTTCTGCTAATGTTTTCTATCAAAGCTACTCATTTACTCATACTTACCTGTATCTCTTCACATTGGCGTTCAGAGCAATGAGGAGAAGTCACATTGTGCTAACACCAGTAATGTATGGCTTTTATGAGCAAAAGCATTCTTTTTTACCCACTGTTTATTTTTTTCTTTAGGTTTCCGAAGGTCTAGTTGTTGTTGCGTATAGTGATGGTGCACCCGCAAATGTATTTCGTTTATCTCCAGCGGAGTTAAAGCATAATTGGAATGCCTGGTTGGAACGCTACAAAAAATTTACGGATATGGTAGAGATTGAATCAACCTAAGGAGCAAGTAAGTGAATGCTTCGCTACTTTTTGTGTTTTAATACTGTGCCAAATACTATCATGTTCATTTAGAATATTCAAGACCACCAGATCCCTATTTTTTTTCTGACAAAACAGCAGAAGATTTTAAAAAATCCAACTGAACATTCATTGAGTGAATCAAGTACATGAGTGGACAAAGTTGTGTGGAAAAAGTGTAGATAACAGGGGTAGGCAGCGCATCCCAGATTGAAGGACTCGGTGGGTTGCCTCTTTTGGAGATAGTTCACAGGGGAAGGCTCCATGGAATTCTTTAAAAAAAAAATGGAAAATGGTTTCATAGAAAATATCTCAGTGTTGAATACTAAGTAACAAAGGTGAAATTTTTAGTTAATCATTCACATTTTCCATGACAATCAACTATTATTGCATACTTTTTCCACCAAAATTTGTGAATTTATTGTTTTGTGGCTGTACATTTCGCCTTAGTAGTCAGCAAAATTTTAACTTTGATTCCATTGGAAACAGAAATTCAACAATTTACCAAAAAATGACATAACTTTAGCCTTAATTCATACAAATTTGAATTTTAGAAATAATTAGCTGGTTATCAGCAATAGAGTGAAGAATTAAATGAATTAATATTGTTCAAATACTAAAATTTGTCAACCATAAGAGTACTAACCAAAGGCATATTGAAAAACAATTTAAGGATCTTGTCAGATGAAGATAAAGGGCGTTATGCAATCTCGGTGCAACTGCATTTGTAGTCACAGCACAAACTGATTGCAGTAGACGCATGGGTCTTAAGACAGTATGTTGGAGTTTTTTGCGGACAAGTGTTAAAAATTCAGCCTAAAGCTGAAAATCTCAATACAGAGGGAAAAAGCTCATTTGAGCACAGTTGTCCCTCAAAGAGATATGCTGTTTGATGTAGCACTAGTTACGTCCATTTAGGAAGGCAACTGCAGACTTGTTTCGGCCTTGTTGGGCCAGTCCTTAGTGCTGTGCAGCCTCCTGAATTGTCTGCTACCAAGCTCGAGAGGTCGTGAAAACCTTTTTGCATTTTTAGTCATGATTGTGACGAAAATACAACATTTTCAATTTAAAGATGCATTTATGGATAATCATACTAGAAAATGCCGTATAAGATAACAGAAACATGAAGAAAACTTCAATTGACTTGAAAATAAGGCTTGCTGGTCTTTTCCTCTGATTTGTATACTATACACACAGTTCAAAAGTCATGTTTGCTGCTAATTTTTAAAATATCCCGAAATATCCAGTTTACCAACAAGTTTTATTTTAACCATGAGCGCCTGATCTAACTAAAACCTAACAACATATCTTAAACCTTCCTTGGTAACATATCCAAAGATCGTTTTAGGTTGTTAGTGCGCCTGGTGTGAAAAACATGTAGATGTGGCTGAAACACGCCTATGGACCTATGTTTAAGTAACGAAAGTTTCATCGTCCAAATCGTTATTATTGTAAATTTCATAAGCTCAAATCGTGATTCATGCAGTAATTGCTACATTTTAGAAAGGGTCTAAAAAGTAGCCCTCATTGCTACTCTTTCCAAGAGTTCAAGCCTTTTTTAAAACAGGAAGGAAAATTTAGGGCTCCAAAGATATAAATTTAATGAAATTTGTTTTAATATTTTTAACTTTTAGTTTTATTTGTTTGTTGAGCTCTCAGTTACTAACGTGGACTTCTGCTGTTGTTAAAAGATTTTCACCCAATTGTTTGTGTTGTTTCAGGATGCCGTGTGATTAACAAGTTTCAACTAGTTCAGAAAATTATAATCAGTCTTTTTCACCTCACTGCCAATCCTTTCAGGTGTGCTGGCTCCACTATGAATATTCAAGCCGATTGTGATAATATCAATTAAGTTCTTACTCGTTTTTTTTCCAACCCTGTAGAAACTGATCCTGAATATATCAGGCTGAAAATGAAGGTAAGACTGTTGTATTCTGTTCAGTCAAATCATATTTTTTAAGCTTTTTGCATTATTTAAGTTACCCTGCAGAAGTAAAATTTTGTAAAGTTCATGTATTACTTGTTGTACTTTGTTTGATGCATTTATTTGCGAAGTCTCTGATGGACTTAAGCTTTGAAGTTCAGGAATGGACCACTAGACAGGATAAGACATGTGCCCTGCAGAACATGTTTCCTCATCAAAATTTCTCGTGAAACAAGATGAACATGTGAAAAAATTTCAACATCAAGTTACAAGAGAGAAAAAAATGTAGAACAGTAGATTCAAATTTCCCACTCGCAATAAAAACCATAATCAATGTAGGTCTAATCAGACATTAGAATCAACCCATACATTAAGCACATAACTGGAACTTAACCAGAACTCTGATTCAAAGTATCTTTAATTTTGTCCAAAAAAAAAGTTCGTACACAGTAGAATTCTTTCATCACAGAAAATACCGAAATTAGCTTTATATTCGATTCGATTCAAGTAAACTCTGTTTTTTTTCTCTCAGCAGGGAGTGTGAATTAATGTAAACAAAAACAGGTTATTTTTTAACTTATTAATATAGTTTGGAAAATTTTAATGCATCTTTTGTATCCTACGTTAAATTTTGATGAGGTAAAATATATTTTGGTTTTTAATTTCAAACCGAATGCAGTGGTTCATTGTTTACTTAAGTGGTGTTAAAGCACTATATAATCATCAAAAATCGTGTAATTTCTTTCATTACAGCAATAGAGATATTACACTCAGAATAAGGAATATTTTATAGGGTAAAAATTTCAAGACAAGACCGCTTAAGAAAGCAAGACCATAAGAAATTAAGACCGCTTTATTCTAGAAACTAACAGCAACAGGAAGTAAAATAAAACTACTTTGTTCCATTTTTTCATTTTATAAGTGCTGAATCCAGCCACCTTCATTTATACTCTACTTTTTATAGACAAAAAGTTATGCTCAAAAGACCCACTTTCTCAGTTTTTCCTCTTTCATCTTAATGCTAGACAAAAAAAGTTCAAAATCTTTATAGTTTACCAGCTACAAAAAGAAGCCATCTGCTCACCTTTTGAGGACTAAAATCAATGATTCTTTATTTATTTGGGAACTCTTCATTATAAATCTGCCTGCAGAGTTTTTTTTAGTTCCCACGTAAAACCAGACGCACTGTGGCATTGTAGCTTTAGTCAATATTCAAGGAAGCTTTATAAACCTACCCAAGAGGCTGTCTCTCATTCTCCATCTTGATTCTTGATCGTTCTTGATTTCAATGAAACGTTTAGTTTTCTGTTAACTTGTGTAGCCTTTCTTAATTGTCTAAGAATACCAATGATTAAGTCATTACATGGGTCTTCAAATAAAAATCTAAATGAAATCATTATTTCAAATGAAAAATTGGGTGGACCTATTACATTGGCTCAGTCATACATTTGTACAATGTACACAGCTATATTTTAACATTTTAGGACTTAAAGTGCCTCAACCTTATCCCGGCATGTGTTAAAACTGTGAAGTAAAGATCTAGGATTTCTTTCTTTTTGTCCTGCTCTAGACAAATAAACTCAATACTTGCCTGTCATGAATTCTTTCTGACAGCCCAATTTTGCAAATTTTTCTTCTTTACTATTTCCAAACGTCTCCGCAACTCGTCCGCGTTGACAGGCTTAGATGCTTTGTTCCATGGCGTGATGTCCCCTTCGAGTTGACTCTCATCCCAATCTACCACAATGTTGTTCTCGGGTCGTAGATGCTCCTTGGCTGTCAGTGGCCGATCCTCGTTTGGAGGTGACTCAGGACTATCTAAATCCCATCGAATTTTGTGTCCTCCTGCACCTTGCTGGTTTTGGCGGCGGGGGCTTTTGCTGTGGTGCGGTCCTGTCCGTTGTGCAACCTAATCAAATTTATCAATTTTAGAATGCATAAAAATGTACTGTTGTAGCATCATCAGTAAAAAAAAAATGAATAAAAAAATGGATTCTATGTAAGCACAAAACGGTAAGATCTATCCAAATGCCAACTGTCATATTGAATACCAATGAAGACATTTTTTGTTGACAAAAAAGGTTATTGACGTCATCTAGTAGCTGTAGCAGTGGTTTCTCTCACCATGGATCTATCAATTTTCGGTGCAATATGTCGATGGCCAAAGTGCAAAACCACTTATTTCTATCCTGGTGTTTCAAAATTTCTGCTTGCATTTTGTTTGATCGAAGAGAAAATAGATAACTTTATAGCTTGAAATTTTTACAGAATATTCTGTTAACAGATAAGAAAAATCAAGAAAGCTTTCAATAAATTACACTGCCTAGTTTTCCAAAGAAAAAATAAAGTATGACAGGAAGTCTGCAATGTTGCAAACAGAGATATGAGGTTTCGCACTTCAGCCATCTACGTGCTCCTTGTTCATCATTGACAAAATAAAGGTAGAAGAAGCTAAGCATTACCACCATGGATGATCTTACATACCGTTTTTCTCGAAAGGTGACATCTGCATTATTATTTAGTGCAGAAACTTTTTGGAGTTTGGAAAGGTCTATTTTGCTAGTCTATACCCCTCAATAATCAAAAAGTTTTCATAATCCAGATAGACCCTGTTACTTATTCATACCACAATTTTCTCTCAACTGTTTGTGCCAATTGCCCATGAGCATTGCTATGATGATTAATTCATGATTTTATAGTGCCTTAAAAAGTTTCATTCACGTTTGAAAAGCCATTTTAAGTAGTTGTTTAAGCTCAATTGTGTAGCGCAATTAAAAAATTTAGCCAAACCTGTGTTTGCAGCCGGCCATTAGGCTGTTTTTTAATGACGCCTCTTGCAGTGCTTATGACTGCAGAGTTGCGTTGGCCAGGACCAATGTGCTGCACTTTTGTCTGCTTAATATACTCCATTTTTTCTCTTTTAATTTCATTTGTAATCTGGCGCATCTGTGCTCTGGCGCTTGCGTGTGGACTGGGGCTTCTGCGTGGACTGCGCCGAGGCGAGGGGCTCCTACTTCTGTAATGCCCTTGTCGGTACCTAAAATTTGAAAGAATAGTAATTGATCAGAAGATTATTTTGTATACTATACATTCTAAGTTAAAGTGAAGAAGGTTATTGCTAACTTCTTCGTAATTTGTTCAATATTTAAATCATGGAAGAATGCCCTGTCAAAACTAAGAATGAAGAGATTCAAATTCTTGTACATCAGACTTCTATATTCAGGGCACAGCTCATTTTTCATGCTTTGGCATGATTTTGCAAGTTCATCAAGTCTTTTTTTTTTGCAAAATCCTTTGAAATTCTTCAACAACTTTCTCTTGTAAACACTGTCTAAAACCGGATCACGAATTCAAATAAGTTTGTGCAGGTAAGGGAAGAAAATTCGACTTGAGCTATGACTATTCCTGAGTATGTTTAATCAATCCTAACCAATCTAATTTGATCTTGAGTCAAAGTTGGCCCATTCTAAACGTGTATAATGACTGTGAATAAATAGGCGGTATTTTAGGAAAATTTACTATTTCAGAAAGGAATCAGTAATTTGCATTATAATGTACTTGAGAATTGAAAATCATATTTTTCGGCCTGCATGTTCCCATCTTAGTGTGAAGTGTGAGTGCAGTGCAGCAACAGTTCCTCAAGTATCAGGTCCTTACCTTTGACGTACAATATTCATGAGAGCGTTGTCTATTTGCGCAGGGGTTTTTCCACGCACAATTCGGCAGTCGAATGGGGTTGGAGAATTACTCCTAACTGTGAGTTGGTGTGCTGACAAGTTTGTCTTGTCTTCTGAGTCTACAAAGATGAGATCAAGGCTCGCTGAAAGACCCGCTTTCAGAAGCGTATCAAAGTCTTCGGTTTCTTCTTGAGAGGTCAACAGTTGATTCTCAAAATATTGATAGCAGTCTTGACACGTACACAGTTTTGAAGGCTCATCGTTTGTGCATTCTCTTCTGCAGATCAACAAAAACTTCTTGCTAGGATTTGCTAGAAGGAAATTAATATGATAATCCGTTATGCAACCAGCAAATAATTTTGCGAAAGTAAAACTTCAGTTTAAGTTGAGCATCAAATTCAGGAAAAGATTGCTTTTGCTGCCTGTTAAATTCTTAAAAAAAGAATGAATAGTTACCCCCAATAATTATTCACTTTAGTAAATAGTTTGAGTTTAACGTTTACTCTTGCTCCCTCTGCACCCTCTTAGCAGTTCATGTACTTAATGTGATAATGTTCCATGGCAGAGCTAGTTTAAGCAACTCTTTAAAGTCACTACCCTACCTCGGTAAAATTTCCTGGAGGAATATCGAGTCCCTTGAAGGGTAAAATTTCTCAAAATGGGTCACTGGCAAAAATGGTCGAATTTGAATTAGCTTTTTCTCCTCTTACAAATATTTTTTTAAACTTTTCAATGAACTTCTTGGTTTTTTCTCGAAATTTTACGTTAGGAATACCACACTGCAACCTTGCAAACATTTCTTGCCATCACCCAATTCTTGTTTCAACTCTTTGCCAAAAATACGTCTGAATCTCAATTCTATCATGTTAATTAGGACGAAACTTAACTCTAAAAAGTTCCCTAGACGATTTTTTAGCATTACCCGTCTGACAATCCTGGTTCTGATTCTGTAATGTCATTTTTACAGAATTTAATTTTCTGTAGATTGTTCAGGTCGGAGGCAAATAGTGAAGTTAGGCATATTGTCAAATTCCCTGGCAGATTGTACGGCGCGCAAGCGCATATACTTGCACGGAAGAAGTCCTCAATTGTTACTATGGCCCATCTTTTTACAGAAGTTTTTCATCAGCATCTTCCCTTATACTCATCATAAAACAGCAAATACCTTGTAGATAATATGTTTGTATTTAATAAAAATAGGTAAATCTGACAAAATGCCTGATTTGAATACATGCCCGGCATGCAAATGCGGGTAGACATTGCTATTTTTTTCTTTCTTTTTTATTCGTTAGCTAGGTTGTGATGCTTTTTGTACCAATTTAGCTCCGATTTTTCAAATATTACCAGCCTTTTTGTTTTGCAAGAAATCGAACAATATCTTAGAAGCCAGTGCATTATCAATGCTATCATCCAGAAATGAGACCCAATGTTCAGTCACTTTTTCTGTTATATTTGAACACCATATAGTGCCGTGCTTGATATGGAAACACGTCATTGAGATGGTCTCCGCTTCCTCTGCATCTGTGGAAGAAAGAGCAAATAATGAGAACTATAGCTTAACTATAGCTTAAGCGCCAACTCGCCAAGTCATGCGCTTTTTCGTGTGAGGTAATATCTTTTAAAAATTGCGCTCCCTTTTTTTGCTCCTGTAGCCCTTAAATCACCATTACAAACAAGATAAACGGAACGAAACACAAGACGGTAACAGAGCAAAGGAAAAGAGGCGCGTTGATAACGGCGTAGAGAAACGACTATTCGTGATTGATGGCTTGAATCCATACAGAATGTACAAACATTTCAAAATTGTCAGTTGAAAAATGCTGACTCCGCGGGTTCGAATATCAGAGCCGAGTGCAGTGCGGCCAGCGGACTAGCGCCCACGAGACTGCATGGATACTTCACGCATTGCGCGTACGCACCGTGATGGACGTGCAATGCGTGAAGTATCCTCCGCGGTGTACGCGCAATGCATGAAGTATCCATGCAGTCTAGGCGCTAGTCCGCTTCTCGCGCTAGCCGCACTGCGCTGTGCTCTAATCACTCCGTGTCCGTGTCTCTCACTCCGTGTCCGTGTCGCATCTGCAAAATTGGAGGCGCGATTGAGGCATGAACTCTAAATGCTCCGCTCCATGCTGCCAACGAAGTGCCGCTCAGATTAGGGAGGAAAGTCAAAAAACGGAGCGCTAATCCGCCTTTCTTTCCTTCGTTAAGGTTGACACTCGATTTTCTCCCTATTTTTTCAATTCAATATCTGGTTCTATATTTAGGATGTATATAATATGTAGACGTACATCTAAAGCTCGCGCTGAAACATCCTCTTCAAGCTTTCATAAATTCAGAAAGGGAATTAGATTGGCTTTTTGATCACCATATTTCAGCCGCCCCCCAAACGATACATTTTCTCTAGTCGCAAAAGCAGTTCTATCGTGATTCTGAGAATTAGAAACATGTCTGTGTCATGTTCTGTCATGTGGGACTCATCATGTGCGGTCGTGATTTTTCTCGATTCTCTTCCAAATTCCACAACGAACATTAGCTTTTGCATGTTCAAAAAGAATAAATTGTAGAGATCTCACACTCGTCACACACGCAATATGCACAGAGGAGGGGAAAGTCGATGTCGAGGCTCTAATTTTTTAATGGGCGACAAAACCAGGGACAAAGCACTCTACACTGATAGTCGGGGCGATTTTTTTCTTCCATCTGTCGACTGTTGTGTGGCTTTTATTCTAGAAGACCTCGAGTGCTTTCAGAGCAGTCGGAGCGATTTTTTCTTCCATCTGTCGACTGTTGTGTTGGCTTTTATTCCAGAAGACCTCGAGTGCCTTCAGAGGGAGTGAGGCCTTTGAGGGGTCCATTTCTGATGGGTTCAGTCATCCTGGGGTCCATTCCTAAAATACGTCATGCTCAAGGGGAGGGGAGGGGGGGGGCAGCGTCGAGTCACGAGTGCGTCACAAGAGAGGGACCTCGTTATAGCTACCGCTGAAATGGGCGCGTAGCGCCCATTTTTTCAACATCTAATATGAAAAATTGACGAGAGATGGCAATTTGCCATCCTTAATTTATCTCAAAATGCTAATTTGAGAGGGTCCAACGAAGCGTCTTGTAACTCATTCAGGGAGGTGCAGACCTGTGCTCGGGCTACAGCGCCCATTTTTCTACCATCTAATATGAAAAATTGACGAGAGATGGTAATTTGCCATCCTTAATTTATCTCAAAATGCTAATTTGAAAGGGTCCAACGAAGCACCTTGTAAACCATTTAGGGAGGTGCAGACCTGTGCTCGGGCTAAAACGGTACAAGGAAGAAATCGGATTTTCCGCGTTACGTAAATAATATTCATCGATTAAGGCCATTAGATAAAGTTTCAACGTTGAAATGCCAGAACCAGCACCATTTTGAGGGGAGAGGAACAATACTGCCTAATTGACAATTTTGACGAAAATGAATCAGCAACTTTGATGCATTTTACAGTGTATAATGTTCAAGCTTCTGTTTTTCGTTTTTTTTCCAATTTTGCATGGTAGCGCTGTAATGACCCTATAAAGTGTAAAAAAAATAGCAAATCTAACTCTTTTCTTCGTCCCGTAAAATCATTAGTTCGCAGATTGGCGGTACATATTGTTTCTTCGCCACCGATTGTCACATTTTGAGGCTCACCAATGTGACTACCGGCGTAAGTGTCGTTGTTCCGTCAGTCTGGGGCGTGTAACATTTTCAAAAGGACCTTAAAGTTTTTCGAAAAAAAAAAAAAAAAAAAAAAAAAAAAAAAAAAACAGGAGAAAAGAGCAGAAGGATATAATTATTATGGACGAATATAAGGTGTTATGACAGTCTTTGCAAGGTAATAAGATAATGTCGTTGGAATGAAGGAGATTGCAGATGGATCTTTGGACTTGAAGGGGTTTGTGAAAAAGAAAGTGATGTAAGTCATGAGGTGGATGCAAATATCGAAGCAATTTTAAAAATAAGAGGTGCCGCAAAAATTAATGTTGCGAGAACCGGCCCTATTTTACGTTCAAAAATGATTGATAATAGCATGTTGAGCTTTTTTTTAACGATAAGATGACTGCACGGACGTTATTTCAACCAAACTTTGAGGAAGGTGTTTCAAAAGTTGTGCGGAAGAGACATTTGCTGATAAAGGGAAGGACAAAATTAAAAAAACAAATCATGAAAAATACCGCAAAATGTAAATAAATGGACCATTCAACAGCACCACAAGACATGTTTTTCATCAGAAGTTCCCGCCGAGATCGTTAAAAAATGTTTAGTGATTCTAAAATGAACGGAAGATTGTAAAATGATGGTTTTTTAGTTGACATTGTGCTGAGTAAATTCAAACTTCTCTCTTCCGAGAAAACCACGTGGAGGTCAAATCAACCATTGAAAAAATGTTAATGTTATCCATAAAATTTTAGTCTATCGATATTAGACTCCGAAAAAATTTCCCCTCGCATACAACGACCACTATACAAACCGATCTCATACCATAATACATGATACATGATAGCTTGATCCATTCGCTTCTGTGAGCGTTGTTGGCCAGAAATATTTTGAGACCATCTTTTTCCAAGAATATTTCCATTTGGAAGTAGCCAACGTGCGGGAAGATTCAGAAAACTGAACATCTTAGGTAATACAGAGAAAAAAATCTTATCCGAGGACGATTTTCCCTGAAAGAGATTCGCTATTTGGTGTAACACTAGCGGCATCTTTTTCAAGTTTAGTGATCAATCAGCAATTGCATACATTCACTACTATCTAGATTTTCGAATAGGGGGGGGGGGGCGTGTCTATGGTGGGTTTCCCCTTGGATGATTCTTTCTATTTGCGTGTGCGCGTCAATCCCAGTAATAATTAAAATACTTTGAAACCGTATTTAAAATGTTGCGTCTTAGCAATTTGTATTTTTTAAAAAAAAATCGCAGAAGTCTTATACGGCTCTCATGAAGAGTCTCTGGACCTTGTCTAGATGTTGCCAAAATATTTTAAAATTAATTCCAAGTTGTTTTTTCCCAAAATATATCTTGATTGCGCTACAAATATTGTAACAGATTTTTTCTGTTAAAAAGATTAAAAAATATGTAAAACTCAATTTTCCTTTCAGTTTTATAAACTCTGCCCGAAAATCTTGTCTTAAATTTTTTTTTAATCGATATTAAAAATACTTTGCTTAAAATTTTCCCAATAATTCTACAATTTTATCAAAACACTTCACTCCAGCTGTGGTAGTAACGCTGCGTTGGTGCTCTTTCAAAACTCTAGATTACTTTGACGTTTAGGATGGAAATTTTCTGTGCTCTAAAAATTGTAAAACAACTCTGCTACAATAATATAACTTCACTTTCGGCACCTACTGCATATTGTTGGCTCACGTTGAGGCATGTGTATCTCCATCGCCACGTCTAAAAATGTTCTATTTTTTTTCTTTAAATGAAACAAACCTTACTATTTCTTTGAAATGTTCTGTAAATAATTTTAATTGAGTCAAGAAAATAACAGAAAATTTCAAGAAAATCGTATGTTAGCTATCTCAGAAAATGAATAAATAAATAACTTAAAAGTTAAAACTTGAGTGGAGAAATGCAACGTTGCAATCGGAGGCTCCTAAATCCAAGAATTAAAATTCATTTGCATGGTTTTTTTTTTTTTTTTTTTTTTTTTTTTTGAAAAAATAGACAGACCGAAAAGAGGGGCGTTGAATTCAGCAGAAGTGCAGAGGGTCCGTGGTCGAGAAAAAAATGTTTTGAAATTACTGGTTAACGATAATGCGAGAAGGGAGACGCAACTTCTAACCTGCCTCACTCTTTACTCAGAAGCAACGCTTTACCCGGGACTTTATAACCGTCAACGTGGTTGTGAGCACAGAGAAAGGTGGACTCACTGTGGAGCGCCTTCATTTTTTCTTCATGCAACACGGACAACCCTTGACCAACTATAGTTACATTCAGGCGTTATCTTATTAAGAAATATTTGGTTTTTTCCGATTTACAAGCGGCATGCGCAGTACAGGCACATCTATCATACCGCAAAAATCGTTGAATATATTGAGTTTTATTTTGTAACCTATTATTGGTTTACTTTACATCACGGTTGTTTTCCAGCTTATATTTTTCTAGATTACAAGTTTACGTTTCTTGATTTCATGCTTTCAATTATTGAAGTAGGCATGCGAAGTACTTTTGGATTTTGTGTTGGTGTAGTGTGCACCACAGTTTGACGGCGAAACTGCAAAAACGTAGAACTCTTTTGCGGTGTTTCAAAATCCCCACTCTCATTTTATTTTATCCATAGAGAAAGAACCAAGACAGTATGGCGTGGCGAAAATGATCGACTATCGATATCTTGCCATTTGAAGCTATGGTAAAGAATCGATTATTAAGGTGTTCGCTGCGAACACCCTGATAATCGATCTTTTTTCATAGGTTTAAATGACAGATCAATCGCTAAATCGCAAAGCACGCCAGGCCACTGAACCAAGATCATTGCTTGAAATTCTCTTTGAATATTTTTCGCTTAATAAAAACCTAGAAGATGTTCAAAAATGACCCTGACTCTTTTTACATTTCGAAAATAAATAATGACAGAAAGTGTGCAGTGTCGTTAACCGAGTTACGTGCATTTTTGCAGTTTCATGCACCGGCACAAGCTCATATTTGTCAAATTTTTCATTCTTAAATGAATGTGTCTATGAATTGAATGTTTTAAAAATTGCAGTAGGTATTTTTTTGGCAAAGGATACGCTACAGTCCTCAAAACAGGCCTTTTCAACTTTATTTGGAAAGGAGGTTTTTTAAACCAGCTCTAAGTCATTTTTATGAGTTAAAGAGTTGAGAATTTTTAAATTGACACGGGGTTTAAACTCTACTATAAACTGGCTGAGAAAAATAAAAATCTCACGCGTACTCCTTTGGAGCTGTCTTCCGGGTAAATATTGGAATGTTGCCTACTTTCCATCCTAAATTTTCAGTAGCATTTAGCGCTTGCGGTGTATACATTTTGCAATTTTTAAGAAACCTATAGCAACCTGTGAAACTTAATGGAAACGTACAGAAAAATGAAACCACGTGTTTGCTTTTTTTATGATTATTGCTTGCCGACTATATAAGAGCCCTAAAAGGAGGTACTCAGTTGCGTTACATTGGTCTGCGAATAATCATGAACAAAAGGAAACTGATTTTTTATCATTAAAAATTGCAGTACAGGCATTTTTCTCGCAAAAGGTGCTGTAACTTTTAAAATTAGGCTCGCTTCAGCGGTACGTTATTGAAAAGAAATGTTTTCGAGCCAGCCTTGTATAGTTTCAAATTGGTTTAAAATTTGAGAAATATGTGATTAGCACAGGTTCAAATTACTTTAGATTGTTTCAAAAGAAAAGGAGAGCTATCAACTTGCTTTTAATCGTGTAAACTTTAATCTGGATAGTTCCCAGTTCGCGTTGTAAGTGTTTTTCAATTTTTGGAAAGTTTATACTATGCTATGAACATTAATGGTGCGTACTTACTGGTCCTAGAGACGGGTTGAAAGGTGTGGAAAATTAGAGCAGTCAAACCGTGAAACATAAAAACGGGTAACATCTCTAAAAAACGAATTACTCGATACTTAAAAAGTTACTAGACTGACATTATTCGTCCCCGAATTCCGATGCGGCTTTGTCATGACTAAGACAAAATCCACTGTGCGTCAGTCGTTCGCTCCTCCCCTAGGTACCGAGTTCCAATCGCGCACAATAAAAAGTAAAAACACGTAACGCGGGACTACAGATCATGGCGGTACAGGAGGTTTTTTTGATACTTATTACGAGCCTTGCTTTTCGCCCGTTGCCCGTAAAGCTGCGTGCTCACACTTCACATTCTACATATCTGTTTTTAAGTTCCTAGAATTAAGTAAAGCTTTTTAGTTTGTTTTTTGGCTCAGAAACATCTTTTGTCCGTTTTTTACAGTAAATTAGATTATTGCATTTCTTCTTTATGACCAGCTTGACATCTCATTCATCGAATTATTTCATTTTACTCTCTTTTGTAACCCAGAGTTTGAGACGGTTGAAGATAATCAGAACTGAAGGGATTCCAATTTTCATGTATTTTTTTGCGGCTTTTTCGCCGCCATAGTAGCCTTTACCGTCATTGGAAAATCGTTAAAAAAAAGAGCCTCTGTAGAGGATAGCAGGAATTTCCAGAGCGTTAGAAGGTCCAGGTGTTTGTGATGTTAGAGTGCGTCATATTATTGGAGTGGAAAATGACACCATATTCGACGTCAATGCCAAACATGTAGTCTAATTGGTCACATCAACAGTCAACAAAATGACAGAAGAAAGGCTGCCAAAAAGATGCTGAATCGGGTTACTTCTGGGTAGTAGTAGGATCTGTGGCGTGGCGTGCTTTGCGGTATATCGATTATTATGCCATTTAAACCTATCGACGGTGTAAGTCGACAATCACATAACTCGGTTTGCGACGTCGCAGACTTCCTGTCATACTTTATTTTTTGAACGGAAAACTACTCAAGGGCAATTCTTAAAAACTGCTGTGATTCTTCTTCTCTGAACATAGACAATTCTGCGAGAACCTCAACGCTTGATATCGGTTTGTTCTCCTTTAAAAAATGAAATAAGAACGGAGAATTGCAAACACCGCAAACGAGATACGTGGATGCTGACTTACACCGTCGATATCTTGTTTGTGGTGTTTCAGAACCCTCACTACCATTCCATTTCATCAAAGGAGGACTGACATGACTGCTTGCAATTTTTGTAGAATACTTGTCACATCAAGAAGAAATATCTGAAAAGTTTTTCATAAATGATGTTGAGTATTTTGCCATGTAGAAACTATGAATTTCACGGGAAGTTTGCGGCGTCGCAAACTAGGTTATACGCGTTTTTGCTGGTTCATCGCACCGTCGAATTGCGTCATCAAATATACATTTTCTAAGTGCTTTTTCGATCGTGCGACGAAGGCTTTGTAATCGACAGAATTTTCGATGCGGAGCATTGTAAATGGATCTTACATTTTATTGTTCAGGCGCTTGATTGTTTGGTCTTATTCGAGAGGCTGAGTCACACTTTGACCGCCATTTTTGGGCTCTGCGCAGAGTGGAAAAAGCGGTATGACTCACCTGTATCAAATAACGTGTCCAGGATCAAAAGGGCAAAGGTCACTTTTTCCAAATTTTAGATAATCGCAAAAACTCTTAACTTTTCTCGGCGTTATGAATTTTTTCAGCAAAAATTTTCATCATCGACCAAGGGCAAAGTGATCGGATCTGACAATTTCAAAAGTAAAAGCCTAAATTATCACGCTGATTTTCTCGACAAAAAAATGGATATACCTATGTCATTTCTTTCACCACTACCCCAAGAAGCATTTTTCAATGGAAAAATCGGGATATATTGCAATTTTATCGATGATAAAATCGTCAGGATCATCAACATCTGAGCGATTATCCTCGCTCTTATCGGGCTAAATCGCGGTTTTATCGCCTGGAAATTTATCACGATATTTTCGAATTAAAAACCGCAATAAATGGCGATTTAATCTCGATTTTATCGACGAAAATTGATCGCGATTTCATCGAACCAAAAATTGCGACGTGTAGAGATTTAATCGCCATAAATCGCTATTTTTAATGCGATAATATCTCGATATGCATGTTGCCACCAATATAACCGCGATAACCAACCGATAAAATCGCTATTCACCGCGATCACTGCTACTTGGGATCCTTTTTAATCCTGAAACTGTCATGGTGTGACTTGAAAGTTATATTTTCTTTCAAGGATAGTTAATATGGAAGGAGAGAGACAAATTTTCAAAATTGAATTCGTTTTTTAATGTTTTAAAAATAATGGGTTGTGACTTCCGCTAAGCTCTTTCCACTTTATTTTTAGTCAATTTTTTTTTCTGTCTCTTTGGATGCGGCTAAAAACGTGAAATTTAGCGGTGCCCCTATCTCATTTTCCTCAAAAAGTACTCTTGAATTTTTTTTATCTTACATACTTCCAATTGCGTTTTTGCCGAAGTATAATCTCGAAGAGGAAAGTTAAAAAGTGTGGAAATTTTTCACGCAGACAGAAAAGTATGAAATAGATTTTAGATTAAGCCCACGCACTCACCGTGATTTTTGGGTTATTTTCCGTCTTGCGGATTGTGATTCGTGGAAAGTACTGGCTTCTTCTTTTTTCTGCAGCTGCTGTCTGCAACGGGCTTATTCAATCGGATTTCTTTGAATCGAGCTTGCGTGTCTCTAGAGCTACTTTGTTCAACAGACTGAATTTCAAAGGCGCCCCTTTTTTACAATATTTTTTCCTCTCCTTATTTTTTATCGCATCAAAAAAGTCTCATCTCTCGAAGTATGCATGATTAAAAAAGCATGAGTCCACTTTTTGACGAAGCTTGGTCCTGCACTCTTGAAGTAACAACAGAGGCTTGTTCGTGAGGATGTGAGGAAAAGAAGTGCCCCTTCAGTTTTTGATTATGCAAGCCGGACATCCATGGAGCAAGAATAGTTGTATGCAGGCGTTGCAACCAATGGTGTTAATCATCCTCGGCCGAAAGTATACAATACCACGCATCTCGATTAGTGACGACCGGAATTTTTGGTCACGTTTACCCATTTGAAGGATATACTGATCATCGCTCTTGTGCACGAATTGCGTATGATTTTTATTTGCCCCTTCAAAAATGTAGTTTAAAAATACGTTTACATGATCGTCCGAGGATACGCTCTTAAAAAATGAAATGAGAGTAAAGTTTTCAAGAAACCACTGTCGAAGTATGTTTCTCTGTAGTTCACTCGAAATAGAAGCGATTAAAAACATCAAACATGGGTCGTTCTCTAATAGAACGAAATCCACCTATGTCAACACTGTAGATTAATTGCAGGGTTAATTTCGTATGTGTATCCTATTTTATCCTATGAGGTATAATGGGATGTCAGAAAAGTTTCCGAACAAAGAAATAAATTGTCTCTGACCCAATATTTTTGCAATGAAATACATACATAAAGCCGCTTTTATAGCGCCGCCTCGCGCTCTGCGACGCCCAAACGCCATTGCCCCCTATCCTCCCACAGATCATCAGGCAATTGGCACCTTCTGATCTCCTCCTCCACCCCTTGTCGCCAACCTTTCACAGGACGTCCACGCCGTCGCCTTCCGGGAGGAACCCAATCGAAGTTCTGCTTGGGCAACCGATCATCTGCCATCCATTCGCACATGTCCATACCAGACCAACTGCTTGGACCTGATATCGTGCACGATGTCCTTCTCCACACCCATTATCTCGCGTACCGTTTCATTGCGGATACGCTCTCTTTGCTTGGTAATAGCTCAGGACGAAGAAGATGCGAATTACATGACGCGCAAGTTAGTGGAAGTATACCGTAAGTGGGGGATGGAAGTTAATGTGGTAAAGACGGAGAAGTTGGTTATCGGTGGTGATCAGCAAAGCATTGAACTGGAGGATGGTCGGAAAATTCAGGACTGTGAAGAGTATAAATATCTAGGAGTTTGGTTAACTAAGGACGGTAATTTGGATCGGGCTATTAAAGATCGGAATGTGCAAGGTAGGAAAGCTATAGCGATGCTATGGGGTTCTCTGGGACCAGAGTATCTCCAAGGAGACCAAAAGAAAAATTTACAACGTCATCGTGAAGAGTATCGTAACTTACGGGAGTGAGGTCTGGCAACTCAAGAAAAGAACTGAAGACATGCTTAGGGCAACCGAGATGGACTTTTGGCGGAAGGTCTGCAATAAAATCATTCTCTTAAATCTCTGGAGTTTGTGTATCTAAGAAAGTATAGGTCAACTGACACGAACAAAGATATAACACCGCACAACAAATTTCTGGTTTTGTTTTGTCCTTATTCGAACCAAACCAACTTTTTTCGATTCCTAGATGATATAGAAGTCCGAAAATGCGCATAGTAAACCTAAAGAAAATTGTCTGGAGCTCAGGGCGCCGCCATTTTGAATTTTCCAAAATTGAGAAAACCTACAAGATCAGTATCTGGAGATATCTCCTCAACGGTTAATTTTACATATAAAACAAAAAACCAGCAGAAAGAACATAAAATTTCCTACCGAAATCACCTTCCCTTTTCTTTCTTAGCTTAATTTTTTTGTCGTAAAATTAACGTTTAAAAAAAAAATTAGCTCAAAGCTTTTACGCCTGTTTGGCTCATAACTCCCGCCATGATTATCTGAGAAAAAAACTGTTAAGCTCATTGAAAAGAGCGTAAAATTTTCTGTTAGAAAACATATGTCAAAAGTTTCAAAACTTGGCTTAATCCTGTTTAACAGCAGTTTATTAGCTCCGCCCCTAAAATGCGATTTTGTGGACCATTTCCCGTAAAATCAAGAAAAAAAGAGAGAAAAAACTCTAAAAACGTGACCCGAACTGTGTAACAAGGTGGCAAAATAGTGCTGGGTCCATACTTTATTGCGGGGAAAACAAAACCAGAAAGTTCAAACATTTTCAATTGGAGTCAATAATTTTGAACTCTCATGGGCACCAGTACGGCAGTAGGTACACAACGAATTTCGGTAGGAAATTTTATGATCTTTCTGCTATTTTTTTTGTTTCATTTGGAAGACTAACCGTTGAGGAGATATTTCCAAAAAACTGATTGTCGGTTTTCTCAATTTTGGAAAATTCAAAATGGCGGCGCCCTGAGCACCAGACAATTTTTCTGAAGTTATTATGCGCATTTTTGGACTTCTATATCACCTAGGAATCGAAAAAATTTGGTTTGGTTCGAAGGGCAGAACCCAGAACCCTTGTTGAGCGGTGTAATCATCGCTCACCGTAACGCTCAAGCGCCTTCAGTTTAAAATGAAGCAAAAACATGCACACCGAACCGTACGAACAGTCGGTCTTATCACCAATGCTCGGTTGAAATAAATTCAGCAGATATATTCGCATTTAAATCAATTAGTCCATAAACATTGGAGGTTTTGAAAAAAGACCGAAAGGCAGTAGTTAAATGCTGGTGGCATGTGTTAAATACAGGTGTAAACAGAACTCGTAGGCGTAAGAAGCGTCAACGTGAGAGGCAAGCTGTGGGTATTCACGAACATCAATACTTCATTAAAAGCCAGACGTAGCTAAGGAAGGGTTTTCAACCCACTCGCAAGTAGACTTCTTGCGTGATGCATTAGTCATTTGAAGTATGCAACTAACTTAGCAGCCTAAAAGCTACGAGATCTGTTTTGAGGAAACCGCAGGGAAACCTGCAAAGCAGAGGAAGTTAATTTGTATTTGATCCGAGGGTTTTCCATAGTTATTTTATTATTTTTACTTAAGTCTTTGGTACAATAAATACGAGTATCCTAGCTATTCATCTCCAAGTTGGCGTCCAAGATGAAAAATTAAGAAAAAAATCCGAAGGAAAAATGGTTAAAAGATTGAAAAGGTAGTCCACAGACCGTTGCTTTTCTTACGTATGGGCTCAAGAAATCATGCAGTTTTACTGACAATAGAGCTTATCCCGAGGCGGAAATACCTACGTCTTTTTGTGACTTTTTTATTCAATTTTTTGTCACCATCGTTATTCTTATTTGTCTATGTGCTCCTTTGATTCTGACAGTTTAATAGTGCAACTATAGAAAAGTTTTTGGCGCTGAATGTCAATGTGGAGGGAGGCACATTTTTAGTTTCACATTGAACATTTTTGAGTGAATTTCAGTTTGGGTCCAATATTTGAAAATCATCAAATGGGGGGGGGGGAGAGAAGGTGAGTAAATTTCCGACTAGACCCCTAATATTAATTTTTTTCTTTTTCCTTGGATGCAAATTACAAAATAATATTTATGATTCAATTATTTTAGCACCGTTAAAAATTGTCCCAGCACTCTGTCAACTCACGCTCTGCATGTTTCAGTTACGTTTGCCGCAGCCAAGTCTTGAAGCGAGAAAGCCCCAAAACTGCATATTTGCATGCAGTTTCTCCAGGATATCCAAAGTCCTCTCCTAAATCCCCAAAATATAATTTTCGTCTATTTATCTATATTTTTTCGGGTGCGGTTTTATAAGCGATTTCATGCTGAACATCAAACATGCTTACAACGAATTGGACGTATTTATATCAAACGGAACTAAGCGCCATCGGGGAAGGAAGGTAGAGGGGGGCTTGGATTGGCGGCGGAACCGGGCGTCGCGTCGGGCTCATTCCGTCCTATACTCGCAATGCTTTTCCATGGCACTTAGGTCAGTTTGACAGAACGCGCTATCCCGCATTCTAAATTCCGCAAAAGGAACTCAAATTGCCGCTTAGGTCCGTTTAACAGAAATACGTCCAATTTATGGTGCTATCATTTCAATTTCATCAAAACATGAAGTCTTTATCCGACCTGCCCTCGTCCTGCCGGTCTTCATCCTGCCCGCCTCCATTTTTCCCGAAGAGTGCCGCGAGGCGTGCCGTGACAGCGTCAGCGTCAACCGGCTCGGACAGCCTTTCTCGGGCGACGGGCGGCGTGCCGTCCGTCGGAAGATCGTCCTCGACGTGGTCCGTGGGGAGGCTGTTGTTCGGCGCTAGGAGCTCCGCGACCGTGAGCGGTCGGTCGCGGGTCGGCGGCGACTCAGGGTAATCCATCTCGAACGGGATCTGCTGACTTGGCGGGGGTTGCTGTCTCGGTGGGGACTGCTGTCTCGGTGGGGCCGAGAACGAAGGTGCCTTTTGGAAGTTCGCGTTGGTCCCGGGCGATCCTCGTTGGGGTGATCGTCGCTTTGGGGGTGGGCTCCTGCCCCTGCTTCGATTGCTCCGCTGCGGAGAGCGCGAATCCGTTCGTCTCACCACCTGGAAACGATCGGACGTTATGCGCAACTTGAAAGTTGTTTGGTTCGAAAATGGAGGCTCTAAATAAAAATTTGAGAGTCGTACAGAGAAGGAAAAGAATGTATCGACGGTTTAAGTCCACAACCGCACGTATCTCGGTTTCCGACGTGGTATAGACTTCCTGTCATACTTCATTCATTAAATGGAAAACTACCCGATTGCAATTCCTGAAAAGTGCCGTGATTTTTCTTCCCTGATCAAAGAAAATTCTGCGAAAACTTCGAGGGATGATGTCGCTTTTTAAAAAATAAAATAAGAGCGGAGATTTCCAAACACCGCAAACGGGATATGTGGTTGCAAACTTACACCGTCGGTTCTGTCCACGAAAAAGGGGACCTTAGGCGAATTTTCGTGGGTGGATTCCTTCGACTTATTCAACCAGATTAGCAGGATGGCACCAACGGAGAAGATCCCTCTGCTGAGTTGAAGAACTAAACTCAGTTGCTGGATGAATTATTATGCCCAACGTTTGCATCCAACCACTTTTCGACCCACCTCTCGAGGTGAGTCGAGAATTTTGGACGTGGTCGTCAATGCTGCCAGCGTGAAAACTAAATGTTGTAGGTGCACCGTCACCCGGAGGGAATTTCGTTTCGTTGTAATAGAGGTTGGCGGTAAGTTTAAAACTTGAACGAAATCCACTCGCGAAAATTTGCATCTCATGCCCACTTCACACGCCGAAAATATGAGCTGAAAATGGAGGCCATCGACGCATCGATGAATTTTGCCGCGAGATTCGGCGAAATTTGCGTGGTTCTCGCAATTTTCAGCAACCGATAATGAGTCTAGACTCGACAGCTGAGTATTCCAAGAATTTGAGTTCAAATTTGGATCGAAAGAGTTGAAATTTACGGGAGAACGAATGTTGAGCAACAACCGCGTAACCTCACTTTCGGCTCCCATTTTCAACGTGTGAAAAGCGCTGAAGTCCGCAAAATCTCTAAATTGCGTTATTAGCATCAGAGACTAGAGTAGTTACCTAGAAAGAATTTAGGACAAACAAAATGTCAAACCCGACCAAATTTATAGCTGTTTGAAGTTTAAGTTTAAAAACTGTAGTTTTGAGGAAAAGCTAATTGAAATATCTATTTTTCATGTCCAAGGAACCGAATGGACCATTAGACATGGTACGAATTGAAGCCACAAGTGTATACTCGCAATGGACCACTAGACAAAGTACGAATTTAAGCATTCTGATACATGTTTCCTGACCAGAATTTCACGTAAAACACGTTTCGCGCAACGAAACTTACCGAAATCAACTCCTAACAAAGATATTAACATTTTTATATCACATTGGTTACGAGGAATTTGAACTGCCCGCTTACAAGAAACTCAAAGCTCTACGTGAGTCAAATCGCGCACTACAACGGTTTCAGCAAGCTTCTCAATCGAGCAATGTTCATTTCCCACCATGTGTTGTTCAAACTATAAACAACTTGCTGTAGCTGAGCCAAAGCGTCAAGATTGAGGTTGCCAGATTTTTTTTCGCAGATGCTGTCATGATAACGTTTAGCGCGCGATGTGAGTCACGTAGATCATTGAGTTTTCATGAGCGGGTGGTTTGAATTTGCGCATCAAGAATCATTAAATATCTTCGTAAGGAGTTGATTTCGGTAATTTTCGTTGTGCGCATCGTACGTGAAATTTTGGTTATGAAACGTGTATCAAAATGCTGAAATTCGTGCCTTGTCTATTAGTCCATTCTAGTGACAATTTGACATCTTGGCCTTGGAGTCTCTAACATTTTACTTGCTCTCTACAAAATTCATGATAGTCCGATGGTATACAAAACTGTAATCCTGGCGATTGTCAAAAAAATCTCCCTCCGACTCAAAATTAGTCGAAATTAGTGGTAATCCACAGTTGTCCAGTGGTAGGTACTCCACAATATCCTCTCTATCTAAATAAAATAAGTTTTAAGACGCTTGATGGACGGGGTGAGGAAGGGGAGTAAGACGTTCGATTGGCTAGAGAGGAAGGGAATTTTCAAAGTCTGTAAGGGGGACACCCGCAAGTGTGGGAACTGTGGGAACCCCGATGAGTTTACCTTTGCGTTGTTGTTGACTTAAGCTTCTGTCCTCTGCTTCTCCCTTTTCCCTCCCTAGTTGACTTGCGTCTTCTGTTTCTCATTAATTCATTCTTAGTTGTTAGTTGAGGTTTTTTGGCGCGTATACGTAGTATACCGCCTTTGCGATCGTTTCGACCCCCCACTCGATACAATAACCGAGCCCCTTAGTTCCTTACCGAAAAGTGACTACCGCGAACTTTTGAGATTTTCCAAAGCCTGTAAAAAGTTTATTTATCCGTCAATAATTATGATTTAAAGTTGTTTCTCATTCTGGGGCTCTCTAGTTTATGTGCAGTGAATACCAAGAGTCTACGTTACTTGGTTTTTTTAAAAAAAGCCTAAGAGTACGACGCGCTGATTTAAAATATGCATATCGACGGTGAAACTACCAAACCACGTATCTCGTTTGCGGTGTTTAAAAATCTACGCTCGCATTTTATTTTTTTGAAGTAGACCAAATCAATATCATTCCTTGAAATTTTCACGGAATTTTCTCCGCACAAAGAGGAAAAATCACAGAAATTTTCAAGACTGGATGTTAAGTAGTTTTTCATTTAAAAAATAAAGTATGACAGGAAGTCTGCGACGTCGCAAACCGAGATACGTGGTTTGGTAGTTTCACCGTCGATATATAAGCAGAAACAAGCGAACTGATTCGAGGATGGCTGATCAGGTCGGCACTCGTTGAATGAGAATTTCACTTCTTCGTTTTGTTTAAAACGTTGCTTTGACAGATCTCCACAACCCTGTTAAGATTTTCAAAATTTGGTACCCCTTGCTCTGATAGCCGGGGCCAGCAGGATAGTGGTAAGTGCAATCTGTGATGAGCCTCGAGACTCATTAGACCATGTGCTAACCGTGGCCCATACAGAAATTCACTCCCCTATCAGGCCAAAACAGTGCACAGGCAGGCACAAAACCCAGGTAGTGTCCCGGTCCTGGCTCGGTTCGCCGCGTCGCTTCCCAGCTGAAGAACAAAAGGCGACCCTCGCGGTCCTTGTCACAGTCAGACCTAATTACTTTCACTCGATTACCCATTTCACCGTCACGCTGGGATCCATCAAATTTTCGAAAAAATTGTTTCGCGAGTACTCAGCAATTTTTTCCTTACTCTCCGTTCAAAGACGAATTGAAAGAGGTCTCATTCATAAAAATCGGCCGAATAGAAGAGAAGTTGCAGTATTCGAAATTCGAAGAAATCAACGAAACTTCTCCAAACAAAAAATAAAATGAAGGGGAAAAAAGAAATGTATAAATTACAATTAAATATAATTGACCTCAGAATTTGGCAAGCAATTCAACTATATAACGGAGAAAAAATTGGGAGAAATTACAAAAAAATTCGCCTCTTGCAAGGGGCTTCCTTGTAAGAATTTTGATCTGAAGGCAAGGATTGAAATACACCATACAATACATGGTGTGCCTGAACGAACATTTTAGCGGCTCTGGTGCTTGCACTAGAGCTGCTATTCCGGACGGTCCCAGCTGGGGAGTATCAATGCAGCATGTTACATTGTAGAGACCGCGCGTTGGTTGATGGGAATCGGCGCCATTTTCGGCTATGTTCCTTGTCATGACTTTATTTTATTGCATAATGCATACTGTTTTATTGTTAGTCAATGCTATGTTGTGTATTGTATTTTTGGAATCATGGTGATACAGTCAACAATTCAAAACTTGTTTGTGCTTTTATCTCGTGATGGAAAAAATGTACTTTACGTTCAAAATTTGAAAATTTGAATTTTAAAGTTTTCGCGGTTAAGGAAGCTTTAAC